AGACACGAACGAACAATTTCAATTGAGCAAGAACTAAAGAACAGATACATGTAACAGAAAGAGAAAGGAAAATGAACATGCACATCTATAGTTCATAAGGAAGAATATTTCCTTAACAATTTTTTAAACCTTGAGAGAAAGTTGCTTATCATAAATTACCAACTGGTAAATAATCTATTCCTTATGAAATACATGTTGCAATGACGAAAATGTACGGGTTATTGACAATATCAGTCTGTCTGAGTAACATACTCTGTACAATGGAAAATAAAATATAGTGTATTATTATTATCTTGAATGTAACAATAAGTTGAGATTTATTTTTTTATACTGATGATCACTATAATGGGAACAATCTCTTTTCGATAAATATTAAGAAATCCCCTTGGAAATGCTTGTTGTCGTTTATTTATCTATAAAAATATCTTCAGTTGTGTTTGTATAGTGAATACAGAAAAGGATCATGTCAGAAAGATAGATTGAATTAGATCGAATCACAAATAACAATGTGGAAAGACAGTAAAGAAAAAAGGAAACGAATCATAAGAGTATTAGGAAAGTTTGAATTAATGAACTCATCGATTATATGAATAATTTAATTGAGAATGTGAGAAGACTGTATGTTTAGAGTGAATTAGAAGTAAATCACAGTTCAAAGAATACATACTGAAAAAAAAAACATACATACGTAGAAATAGAACAATTCAATTGCACACATGAGTAAGAGATACGAAGAAAAAACGGAAATAAAACGAAAACAAACATTATAAAACTTATTTGTTCATTTCATAAATGAAGTTATTAATGTTATTGTGAACTGACATTTATTTCACAATACGGATATAACCATTAAATACTTATTTTTTTAAAAACTAAAAACAATACTTACGATGCCGTTCTAGTATTATTAAATCACGAGTTTCTAGTACAACAAGAATAAGATGTGAAGCATCAGCTTGTGAATCGTACTCCTAATATTCAAAAATTTTCAAATGATACTTACGTTTTACTACTTGATATTCTTCTAGATTTTATGTTTAGCTTTTGCTATCATATCGAATATTTGTGTTGTATTTTTAAAAATAATGAAATAAAGAACAAATTGAGTAAAATAGAAAGTTTAATTAATTAATTTACTAGTTGGGTAAATTTTAATTGTAAATTTGATTTCGGCTCAAATAATTATGATTGCCAATTGTTTGATAATGTTTTTATAGTTCAAACTAAAAGACAATCATTAAATAAAAATGTTAATAATTCTTTTCCACTTTGTACCTAAACAGAATAGATAACAACTTTAAAATTAGAATATTATCCATTCCGAATATCAATCAGCTCTGGTGTGTATGATCATTTTTTCTGTGACCATTTTGAAATCCATGTTATTCGAAATTTTTCTATTACATATTAACTGTTAAGATAATAATTTCATAGAGAAAGTCAAAACCTCTCTGGAAGATTTCGTGGCTAAGTTATAAGGATTCTTCTGACACTTTCGAAATCAATCAATGGACTATTCGCTAATGTACAATTTTTTTCAATAGATAATGGATTTTAATTATTCTTTCTCTAACCTTCATTATAGAACCATGTAAATGTAATCGTCGTTGTTTATGAAATTTAGTTATGTTTGAGAGTTTTTTCAATTAATATTTGATAACTTGTAATATGTTGCATTGGTTTTTTTCAAAAAACCATTTCAATCAACTTCATATTGTAAATATTTATCAACCATATATAGTAAATATGAACAAAGAATTTCATCTATTCGTTTAAATTCATTTATGGTCATAGTTGATTGAGGAACAATATTATCGTCTGAACATTCAATACTAATTAGACATAGTAATGTTAAATTATTAACTGATAAAGAATGATAAATATGTTCAGTTTCACTAAGATATTTCCTTCAACGAACAAAAACTTCATCACATATTTGAGAAATCCATGACTATGATCGATGTTTATCGTCATCATATTCAATTATTATCTGAAAGTGAATGAAAAGAAAAAAACTAATGTATGTATGTTGCAGAGTATTTAATGTCATCAGATGTTCTTTATATTATTTAATGTTCGATGAAATGATATGCCAGTTATTCATGTTGATGAATCAGCTGTTTTCGATGTACATGGAATACATAAAGTTGGAAGAAAATTATTCAAAACGGTATTTATTTCTATAAGTTTTCTAGAGAAATAAAGCCTCGGAGACAAGAAAACAACAACAACTAAAAAGTTTTTTTTTTATCTTCATGCAGTCAACATAATTTTAATAATTGATGTGGACGTGTGGTTATGAAAATGTGCGTGTAAGAAGAGAGCAACAACCACACTCACCCTCAATTATTGGAGAAATAAACCGTTGAATGGAAAACGATCATCCTCATCGTTACTATCTTTCATTTTAGCTTTTATTTAATCTACAGAAAATGAACTAAAAATTGAACAAAGTTTAGTTTCTACAATGAAAATTTATTTCTCATTGTTCATTTTTACATTTATTTAAACATTGAAGAAATCTTTAAAAAGTATATCTTTCGTCATCGAATTATCTCTTAGTCTTATTAATGACTTAATTATATAGTCTAATTATTAGTGAATATAATACATATCCATGTTATTAACAACACTTTCAACAGTCTGATAATGAATCAATTGTTTTGAATTTCAATATGTTTAATAAAGTTGAACAAAAGAGGTTGCCAGTATGAATATGGAATAGATACGTATGACATCTCACTATTGAATGAACTGAAAAAATCTTATCAAAAACAAATTTCCCTACTTGCTCTACTCATGTAAATTGAATACAATCACCAGCTTTATTTTATTATAATTAAAATTGGTTACAGTTCATTGAAGAAAACGAACTAGCCTATATTTTCTATATTTTGTAAATGAACTCATGTCAATAAAATCTTTTAAACTATTATAAAGTACTCAGTTGCATTGATATCGTTTTATAAATCGAGATTATTTATTTATATATTTATTATCATAGAATTTCAATGTTTACTGAAGTGAATTTATTTCAAACAATTTTATTGATTCTAAATTTTCGTTTTAGAAACAGATTTTCATTATAAAAGTGTTAACGAAAGAAGATTTGTCTTTTGATTTATCTTTAAAAAACAATTGTATCCAGTAGATTTTTATGACAATAAAATGAAACATTTCGATTACTCTTCTGATGATTAAACAATTTTAGTTGAATTTTGAATGATCTTAAAATATAACAAAAACGTTCTAATGAGGAGTTCATTTTTAAAAATGATAAGTATATCCATTAAACGTTAATAATAATGAAATGAAATTTTAAAAAAAGTTCTTTTTTTTCTTCTTATTCTAACAAAATTGACCAACCGAAATTCTAAGACCAAGAGATTCTTTTCCAATCTTTCAGTTGCTGTTGTAACACAACATAATTATCCTTTAGATTTCGGTAAATAGACTGCATCGGACAATCGACATTTCACTAATGAATTTCACCTAAACAAGCGTTACATATTATTTTAAATTAAATTTGACTTCACTTTTAAATTTCAAAACAATAAATTAGTACATACGATGCAGCACAAATATCAAATAGATTATATTCATTATAATTGAATAGATGTTCATCAATTGGATTTTTCTTCACAAACACTTGATACTTTTTCTGTCTAAACAAAGTAATAGAGGAAATAATTCTTTATATTTTTTTTGTTCGTCTTCTAAAACAATTGAATCACAAATTATGTTTACTCTTAAAAATTTTCATAGTTAAAGTCGAAAATGAGAAAACTCTTGGTTTGAAAATGAAATACGAATAGTAAAACAAAAAAATCTGTTGAATAACATCAAGTACTGATCCCAATTTCAATAAACCTTTGGGGAAAACTTGTTGCAGTTTTATAAATTTTTTATTTCAAAAAACTTGATTAATTGCAAATTTTAATGTCATGATTAACTAATTCACATGAATGTTTTTCATTATCTTTCGCTAAAATTTTGCGTTTTTATCATTGACATTTATCAACCAACAATGTATATTCTTTACATATTTCAATTCATGGTTGACTTTTAAGAATAAATTGACATGATTCAATAATAAATAACGAAACAGATAATAATATTGAATGAAATTTTTCATTTGTTATTAAATGATAAGCGATTTGAAAGCGTCCAACAAATTCTTCTAATTTTAATCCAACTATTGGATAAAATAATTTTGATGAATGTGCATCAAACCTTGATAATTAAAATAAAAATTTAGAAATATTTACAAAAAATAAACAAATAATTTATATATTTGAATAAAAACATACAACATCAGGTAATAATTTCATTTCAATATCATATCAACCTTCGCTTTCAGTTTGTATTGCATCATCAGCCCAATCTTCACCACTTGTTGTTATTTCATCAATTATGAAGATTTGCTGTTGTGTTTGATTTTGAATCTTTTTTAATGCTTGTCGACTTATTGGACATAGTGATAAAATTAATTTAGTATTCAGATTTATTACAAGTATCTAAAATAAATAAATATTTTATTTTGAATTATTAAATTTAACTCGAGATTAATATTAATTAAATGTATGTTTATCCTATTCTTTCATATCTAGCATCTCAATTAAATAAAAAACAAGCAATAATATCTTTGTTGAAATTTTAGTCAACCGGTTTATTCCTTATTTGAAATAGCAAAATATTAGAAAACTAAAATAAAATTTTCTAAATTGTTTTGACTTTTTTTAAAACTTTCCCTCGGAAGAAGTTTTTAATATGAGGGTGTGGGTGGGGTTCAAGACAAAAGATCCACACGGACACTCACCTTCCACATCCACATCCTCGCAAATCTGTATTAATATTTCACTTAATAGATCGAATTGTTATCTCACAGGTAGTATTCATTTTTGTTTCTCTATCAGTAAAGTCTTAGCGTTAATAATAACACAAGATATTAAGTAATGAATATTTTATTAGGAAAAAATATTTTTAATATCCATCTTGCTTCTTTTTCTCGCATATTTTGGATTCTAATAGAAAGTTTTTCATGAACTATATCGAATTAGGGTGT